ACCGTCCCTCCCGCGCGCGCTCTGCGCCCCGCGCCCGAGGTTTCCGCCCCAGCGCGGAGAGGAGCGCGGCGCGCAGACAAAACGCCTCTTAAAGGCTCCGCGAGAGGCTCGGGAATGGGAATCGGGGACTTCGCCTCTCGCAACTTGGCGATGCCACGAAACCCGGCGCGAGCGCGAGCGCGTGCGCGCGCGCCGCCCGGGGACCCCCGGCGCATCTCTGTGCGGGCGGAAGGGAAAAGTTCCCCGGATTCTTCGCGGAGGGGCGGTGGGCGGGGGCGGGAAGGTGCCGCGAACCGAGCTCTGCGGGCCATTTTCCAAACGGGAGATTTGGCCAAATCCGGGTGATGGCAGACCCTTCTCTTAATCAACTCTGATCCTTGGCTTGGTTTGGTGGCTTTTTTTAATTTTTAATTTTTATTTTTAAAAAGGGAGGTAACATGCCATTCAGAGCCTGTCTTTTCCTTGCAGGGTTAACATTTCACAGGTATGCGGCCTGACATTTTAATTGTTCAAATAAAACATCTCGGATGCTGAGAAACAGAAGCAGACTTCATCTCACAGTCAGGACGCAATTAAAATACATTTTCCTCAACTTTTTCCCCTCTCTGGTTGGTTTTAACCAACCTCCTGCCACACACCCAGTCCTGGCCAGAGGGGGAAAGGCCGACCTGCCGGCCGAAGGGCCAACAGAGGCAGCCTCCCGGGCTCCCAGCGCACACCCTCCGCACACGCATGTGAACGCACATGTATGAGGCCACATTTGTCAATGTTCACAGACAAAGACTTCAGCCACTATGTTTCCAGGTCATGGAACAGTTGAGGACGGACTTCATTGTTTCTTAAGTCCCCTTAAAGCATTCATAGGGCCATTAAAACACACCCAGAGCCTCTGCCCCAACTTGGAAATAATACCAGGGCAACTCACAAGAACCACACACCGGCCATATTCTACCCCAAGAAACCAACTTCCCAGCCCCGGCCGTGCTGCTCAGTGGGCTAAAGTCACCCAGGCGGCTGAGCCTCTGAAGTCCAGGGCGATGGGTCTGAAACATCCAACATCCAGAGGTCGCCCCCCCACCCCCAGAACACACTCTATTCCCACACGCCGCTCGCTCGGTTCGATTAGGACAAATGAGTGGGTGACGATTATTTCATATTCCTAAAAGGAAATCCGTGACTCCGTCACGCACACTTTGCACCAAGAGAAAAACTGCAAGTGGCTGAGCCAAGCAGGTTGGTGAACAATTAAAACATTTTACACAAAACACACGCCAAGCTGCAGGAAACTCGAACACGTATAAATAGTAATGAACAGCCCCGAGAAAGCATCCTGGATAGTTCCAAAAAAGAAAAAAAAAAATCCAAAAAGATGCAGGATTTCTCTTTAACATAAAATTGACACGTGCAGGTTGCATTTTGCATTCAATACCCTTTCCACACACAGGCAGGATACGAGGTGCACATGTGGGCAGACAGGGGCTAGTTTTCAGGGCAGGAAATAAAATTCTCTCAGCCCTCACCCTTTCTCCCCTGAAACCACCTATTTCACCAAAGCTGCAGGTGCTGGGATTATTGGAAAGTTGTAAAAAAAAACAAACAAACAAAAAACCAAAACAAAAAACCAGAACCCTATAGTGGACAGTGGGCTATAAACCTGACGTGTAATGAGATTGCCAGGCTGAGAATTTCAGGTTATCGGCTCAACAGAACTTTCTCCCCCCAAAAACAAGAATCGTGCAAAAGAAATTATTCCAGGGGAGGATTTTTCTGCCCCCCTCTTTCAACCTCTGTGAGTCGAGAAGTTGCCTGATGCCACAAATGTCAGTGGGTGAGGGGCCCACTGAGCNCTCCAGGGGAGGATTTTTCTGCCCTGTGAGTCGAGAAGTTGCCTGATGCCACAAATGTCAGTGGGTGAGGGGCCCACTGAGCAGGGACGTGGTGGGGCTGGGGTCGCAGAAGGCGGCCCGATGGGCACTCCCGCCTCCGCTTAGTGGGAGCTGGAATAATTGGTCACAGGGAGATGTCCCCCTCGCCTCCTGTGCAGACGTCCCCACAGCAAGGTCCACCTTTGACAAACAGGCGCTGGGGAAATTTCGAGGAGGAACAGCTTCCCCAGTGCCCTGAGAGATATCTGGCATCTGAGGTCCATTTTGATGGCCTCAGACTTAAAATGAAAAATTTTCCCAGCCGCCTCCAACAGAACTTGCAGCCTGCGAGGCTCACGGCCACAGGGCTGCCGGGGAGTCAGAAGTGCCTCGCTCTCCATTGTAGGGGCTCATCCACAGCTATGCAGCTACTACCAAAAAAAAAAAAAAAAAAAAAAAAAAAAAAAAAAAAAAAAAAAAACC